GTAATACTTAGATATAAATACGTACTAGATCCACTTAATTTTAATATATAAGTTTATCACACAACTTTGCCGAAACTCATCTCGGGAAGCTACCGTGCAAATGACTCCAAACTTGAAGCAATTTCTAAAACAAATTAGAAAGTTCTATTTTCGGCTCCCCTATTGGTCGATTGCACAAATGTTATATTTTTTCTTACCTTTGTTAACTTTCTCTTTTTTGTTACAATTCTTATTCTTCCTGGTTCGCTACCTCAATGCGGAAGGGTTTTTTAAAACTTTCACCCCTGAAACAAAAGTTTATTGCTTTAACCCTGCTGGTGCCGTGAGACAAAACCAACTGTCCGTTTCTTTGTACTAACAAACTTTTGTTTATTTTAAAAAACCATAGGAAGTTATTGTCCGTAGATCTAGATCACTACATCCCAATAATTATATTAAATATATATGTAAATGTAATACCTGTAAATTTTCTAGTTAAATATGCTGGATAATTTAGGTAGGTATGATTGACTTCATGTCATGTTTTTGCAAGCAAAATAACTTTTAAGATAACCCATAAGTTTTTGTAAGTTGATTGAATAATTAATTATTATTTAAAAAGTATAATATCAAAGTTATACAAAATGTCTTTTGTGTTACATAATTATGTTTTACCGTGTTAAATAAATATGACGAAATTAAATTTGTCATAAAAATAGAGAATGTTTTAAATAAGTATTACTTGTTAAGTATACTATATATTTTCTGTAGTTAAATATTGTACCTAAGTAGGTACACTATAGTTTGAATGGGCTGATTTTAGTTATAAAAATTCATTTTCTTCCAAATGTTTTGAAATTTGTTTTTATGAATGTTAATAGTATTTCATACTAAATACAGAAATGTTATAAACACAAATTCGTGTGTACACGTGAAATAGGAATTGTTCTAAAAAAATACCTCTACAATCTTAGTTAGCAAAATTACATAGCTGAGAAACCGTAGCAAACTTTTTAATCATTTTAAAAACCCATTGAATGTTCTGATGTGCCGTTTTCTCTTTTCAAAGTAGCGTGCATGTGTTCCTAAAGTTACCAAGAAGTTCAGCTGTGATTACAGAGATGGCGCTTTTGACCAAGTCACTAAAATATTCTTACACTAGCGAAATTGAAAGGGTTAATCTGGTATAAGTTCATTTTTTCACTTGAAAAGTGACATATTCAGCCAAGGAATATGTTTTGTTAGACATCTAACCGTAAATCTAGAGTAAAAATATCCTTTGATTAGTTAAAATTTGTACTTTTAGTAATCTACTTACATACCTGGGTATATAACTACTTCACATTATTTAAAATAAAATAGAAACCCACATTTTGATGTATTTCATAAAATTTGACACGTCTATCAGATTTAAAATTCTCCAATTACATCCAGTTCATATCATCATTCTCCAATTACATACAGTTCATCCATAAGTTTTCCAATTAGGTACATTTGTGTTAGTTTTAGTATTTATGCAATCAATGTGTTGAAAGGTGAAAGTATCTACATAACTCGTATACGATATCCAAAGAAAAAAAGTTACTCTGAAAAAATCAGAAACAATTCAGAAGTACTTTTCTACTTCATTTTAAGGAATATTTACCAGTGGTAACAAATTTTTGCTTCTTAAAAATTTTCAAGACATTTTTCTAACCACTTCCATTTAATCTATTCCATTTAAGTTAAACATTTTATTAAAGTATCTACTTAAAAAAAATGTAAAATGCAAGACATCTGAATGATATTTTAGCTTAGCTTAGCTGGAAGGTTTAACAAGACTACCTATTGGTAATGTGTGCTGAATATATTGAATACGGAATAATTGTTGATCCCAGTATTAGAATTAGGTGTTACCACCATTCTATAGAAGGTCGATTGATCGATCGAATATAGCTATACAAGCATGGTTTCTGTGTGATTACAATCTCAGTTTAAAAAACTTTAATATAAGAACTAAGTAGCTATTGCTATTGTCATCATCACATCAACAGCCTGAAATAGTCCACTGCTGGACATAGGCCTCTCCTAACTAAGGAGGGTTTGGCCTACTATTCCACGCTGGTCAAACGTGTTGGTATAGGGTTTGCCTCCAGTTTTCCTTCTCTTTACAGTGCTGTTGTCCTTTGTAGTTAGCTCCCTTAGTCGGCTCTTACGACACCCACGGGATGACGCTCCACTACTGCGCACTTTTCGAGACACTTTTTGCCTCGCACAACCAATCAGTGGAACGGGTTATCGTCTGCGGTATTTCCGGACCGATACGACCTTCAAACCTTTAAGAAAAAAAGGCCGGCAACGTGTTTGTGACTCCTGAGCTGCAGACGTTCATGGGCGGCGATGGTCAATTTCCATCAGGTGACACGTCTGCTCGTCTGCCCCCTCTATCGGAAAAAAAATGAATAGAGATATTTTGTTTGCTATTGTGATTGTTTCTAACTTTGAAAACGACGATTTCCCATACAACCGTTCATTTCTATTTTGACTCCTTAGGGGTAAACTTGATGATGGGATTAGGGAAAATGAATTAGTCAGTCACGGCAGGCAATTTTATATGTTAGTATACCTAGATATCGTAGATTTATGCAACATCTCTGTTACTAAGTACCTACAGTACAGTAAAGATTACTACGAGTCGTTATGCCTACTTAGTTAAAATAAACTAAATTGATAAATATACCTACCTATTTACAGAATGTTACTGTAAAACTCCAGTAAAGTAACCTAACTTATATTAGGTAATAGGTATTGCATTGGATTGACTCGAAGGATATCAGAATATATACTCGTACATTTATAATGTTTGTGATTAGAATGTTTACAAGATAATTATATTCATATACTTATTATTGTTCGTCAGTAACTGCATCATTTTCTTGGAACAGTAGCTTAATGAGACTCGCTTAAATTTTTGTAACACAGGTATTGCTTCCTATGAAGGAACTCGTCATATAAAATATGAAAACAAAGTAGGTAAAGTAAAACCTTTACCCTTTCTAAGGAGAGGGATTTGTCCAGCAGTGGACTGTTAAAGGCTGTTGGTGATGATGATGATGAAAGAAAAAAAAACAAACAGTCAAACAAGAAAACTCGTTGGCTATATACTTACGATAATGTTTATGAAATTGTCTTAAAGTAAGTACTTGATGGAAAAAGTACGACGGTAGAACTAGGGTTACATTAATTTGGCTATAAACTCGATCTTTTGATTAGGCACTCAGCTTTGTGTGTACCTACGTTTTAAATTTATGAATGAATTACGAGTTGATCTTATACCTAGCTAATATTTATAATTCTTTTCAACAGGATGAGTAAAAGAAGAATGAATGAAAATTTTTCGTTGAGTTTATGTACCGACGTTGATAAGTCAGGGACGGTTGTAAGCATATTCCCTACATATATTTTTCATAGTGTTATTAATATAGTTTTCAAAGGCTTTTTTTAAATTGACATTAGAATCCCAATCAAGATTTTTAGCTGCAGACTTGGGCAGTACCCAATTAAAATTAAAAGCGGTCAGGTACTTCCCCATGCAAAATTCTCTGTTCTACCTCTATGAGACTTTTGAATCGTTATTTGTTGGTACGTATTTAAGTACTGTGAGATCAAAACAATATAAATTTTAGATATATTGTTATAGCTATTTCAAATTCCAATAGAAGAGTATGACAATTAGAGTATAAAGACAAGTACAAAGACAGCTTGCATATAAATCGGCTGTACCTATTGTTCGCAACGTTCGAGTACGGAAGAGGAAACAATGACTATTTACTAGTAAAGGCGTTCACGACGTGACGTCGTCGCCGAAGCTTAACTTTGATGAGGCTCACTTTTGATAGCTTATTTATAAGACTTAGCTTATCTGTAAGTACTCGTTGTTTTTTTGTATAGCTATTATTATTATATGTTTTTTTATAATATAGATAGGTGTATAGGAACATTATAAGTACCTAATAAAATTGCGTTGGATCTATTAAGTTAACAATATTTGTTTTATTTCAATGAAAAATTGTTTGAATTATACTCGTGAATATTAAAAATAATTTACTATAACTAGAAGCAATAATAGATATGTATGTATAAACTCGGAGAGGCCTACCTACGAGTATGTCCGGCAGTGGACTACTAGAGGCTGTTGATGATGATGATGATGATGTAGCTATCACTTAAGACTCTCGTCATTAAGTTTAGCAGAAGGCGAGAAAAATAAGAACAATATCGTAATTTTATATTTATTTATTAATAAACAAGTTTAAAAAAGATACAAGAATTGGTATAGATGAAATACACTGAATTTCTTTGATTATTATCAACAGTTCAAACTTAGAACTTATCATGTGCAAAATACAAAATCTGATAGGGCTATTTTATAAGTATTTTTAAATATTTAATATATTTTATACAGAAAATAAATTGTAATGAAGTGTTGCCTGTTAGAAAATATCTACCAATGTTTTATGCAATACATCGAAAACAAGATGCAAGAATATGTATCTACACGTGATAACAGAAGGACCTAACATCACAACGGCATTTATACTTAACAGTTTATATATTTCACAATTTTCAAAAAATGTTACGATCAATTAGTGAGGTCTTTTTCCTGTAATAAATATACATCTAATAGTACTATGAATTGACATTTATCATTAGTTTAAAATATGTAATTATTCAAGTGAGAATCAGCTTCAAGAAATTCTCAAGACTTCGTGGATGCATCGATGGTTAGTGTCATCTTCTGTTACGTATACTGAAGGTATACCGGAAAGAATGAGGCACTCAGGATACATTCAGTATACGTACAGAAGGCGACGCAATTTCTTCTCTTCTGTTCTTCACATCAGCTGCTAGAAGACGTTTTCGACAAAAAACATATATTTTTTAGCAATACATCTTAATCCTAACAGAACAAAAGTTAACCCCACAATCTTACCATTAAATGTAATGTTCTTACATCTAACCCCAAAGCTCACCAAACAAAGTCACTTGCATAGCGAAAGCCCCGCCTGTCCGCTGGGAGCACCACCTATAAAATAAAACAACCGATTTATAACACGCCTGCCTCTACAACCCAAAAGGGAAACACTGATAGCAACGGGAAATAACGTTCCGCTATCGTAACGCCGCGAGTAAAATGGGCAAAATTATGGCCAATCGTAAATATGCAAAGTGAAATTGTTTTACAGAAATTCTTTAATACTAGAAGTTCAAACAATCTATTGTCCACGCAGACCAATGAGAGCACGGAGAATTGCAAAAACACTCGATTGGTTTGCAAAAATTATTTTCGCAAACCATCCAACCGGTAGCAAAGCGTCTCTTTGTTTTTTACAGCCTATCCACCGAGTGAGGAACGGCTCTCCCGCAGGCTCTTTTGTCCACAAACCTTTGTTGCACATAAAGGATAAATTACAAAAGACAAGTTTCGACCACCACTCGTAAAGATAACTAAAGAATTCCCCGTCCGTGTGTGCCGGCCTGGGATTGAATAGAAAATCATGAAAGGGCGTAAGGGTGTATTATATTCGTAATTTATGACGCGAGGCAACATCGCACCGGGCCTGCATTATTGATTCTAATGTACAAACGAAAGGTTCTCTAAGCACCCATAAAATAATCACAAAAATGCAGCAACGAGCACTAGAAGAGAGACAGGGCTGAGCGCGAAACGCGATTTGTGCCGACCGCGGCCTAGAATGAATATAGCACGTGACTTACCGGTCCGGTCGGTCAGCTGTTCGCGTCGTCCGATAAGTAAACATTGAAGGATGACGGATAGGGTTGCGCGCGTGTCGAAGGAGCGTGTGTTCAGGGACGGCGTCTCCGGGCGTCTGCCGGTCTGGGCGTCGGGGCGCGCGTCCCGGCCCGCCATCGATTGCCGCCCTCGCCGCTCGGCGCGCGCCGAACCACGGGACGGCTAATGCCGATGCAAGATTTTCATTACATACGCCATGATCGTTGTTATTTGCACCCCGTAATGTTTTTTGATAGTTTGCTTAGGCTTCGCGACCGTTTACATTCCGAATATCTATTTATGTTTACATACTATTTAGATAGAACTACGGCTGCGCTCTGATTATAATATTACGTCCGTACGAGTGCTGATAAAAAGTCGATATTAAAGAGTAGACACAGGCTGCGCCACCTGTTCCTGTTCTCTCGGTGATTACCGTTCCGCCCTGCGGCACGACTTGGGATTTTTAATACCAACATACTCGTAGGTCGGCTTTATGTAGCAACGTAATAAGTAGGTAATGTAAATTAGGCAATTTTATAAATAGAAAATATAAAACGAAATTGTACATTGTTCTTACTCCCCGTCTTTTTACCACTACTAAGAAGATAACGTTGAAAATAAAAATAGTATAAAACGTCAAGTCTAAAAGTATTCAAGTTAACGTTTTGTTGTAATTTATGAAGGATTTTTTATGGCAGTAGGTACATTTGCGATGTTGCGTATGGAATCTTTCATCATCCGTGTGGATTTTTACCTAGCTGGGTAGAGGCTATTGTTTTCAATTTTATGATCGAAAATAATGCTAAGTGCTTATTCTCTCACGAAACTACAAGTACAAAATACAAGTTATTCTAATGAATATTGTTGGTATCTATCGGTATTCACTCTTTTAGATTCTATATTTTCTTCATAACAATAGGTTTTCTTATTGAAGACATAAAAGTGTCTGAATAAAATCTTCTAAATGTATGACCAGACTACAAAGGCAACAGTTCATTTGAAAAAGACGTTATGAAATTATTACATAACATCATTAAAATCAGTTTTAATTCATTTGACTAATCAGTGCTACATTCCGAAAATTATTTTTTACAAAAAAAAAGTATCACGACATCAAAAGACTCTAATATTAGTTAAATAGATTATTGCGCTGTGATGTAAATTCACGTTATAATGTCATGTCTTAAAAACTCCGGAACTAACCGTTTCTTAAAACGAAATTTATAGCATTTAACAAAGTCGTAATAATTAATATTTTATTGAGGAAAACTCTGTATAAGATATGATTTACAGATAACACCGGTTTTGATCTATAGAGCCGCTTTATTTTAAAATACGTGATAGGTATTAAAAGTACCTAACCTACTTTTATGACATAAATTTTCAATATTATTTTTTACTATTTTAATTTCTAATTGTTATCATTGAAGATAAATAGATAGAGAGTCTGAATGATAAGTAGTTTTGCAGAATCTCTTTATTCGAAGATTTATTCATGATTTTTTTTTATACAAAAAACAAACTTGTAATACAAACACGGTTGGAAAATCAATCGAATTGCCTTTGTCGTGGGAGGTCTAGGTTACACCGGAAGGAGGGTAGGGGAGAGAGCAAGTACGATACGCATGAGAAACCCTGTTCCTTGGTCGGCGGCCTGGGTTATTCTTGCAATGATACCTCACCCCCGGATAAAGAGTGCCGTGACGGGGCCGCGGCATATCTATTTCTTTCGATACTGGTAACATTATACTAATTTTTAGACGTAGGTACTTAGTATAATACTTCTTACAGATGGCCTATTTTCGTGAGGTCTTTAGCTGTAAACACACTTGGGACATTCATTCAGCAATTATTGTATGCCTCGCTCTACTTTTAATGATATCATAGCAAATGTTTTAAATTCTAAAATGAATTTCAACATAAACACTTCATTGGTCAATTTTGCTGGTAACACGTTAAATGTAAACAAAAAAAAAACTTGAATCAGTAGTAAAGTTAGATGTAAGTAAAGTTGTGTTGTTTACACTTCCTCTTAGTAAAGGGTTGTCACAGGAGGCAAAAAATATTAGACATAACTTAAATGTAATCGTGCACAATTGAACTTGCCAAATAAATGAATCATATTATAATAAATTATATTACAATTACAAAACTATTGCTAATGACTTTGCCAATACGTTGGCAGATAATTCTTTTGACATTTACAATAATATAAATGACATATCCAATACTTTACCTAATAATGTGATTGACATTAAAAATAATTTAAATTGTTTGATAAGACAATATAGTCTGCCTCTTGCAATATTAACTTGAATGCTTTTAGTAAATTTAATCACTTTACATTAATAAGAAATAATAAAATAAATAATATAATTTTGGTGCATCTAAATATTAGAGGCATGATGGGCAGAGACTTAGAGGTGGAAGAGTTCATGAACTGCAATGCGATTGATATTTTTTTGTATTACTGAACATTGGCTTAAACGAGATCACTTGATGTTCAATTTTGATCACCACCAGGTAGGCAGCTCGTTCAGCAGAGGTACAGCAATACATGGTGGCACTATGATACTTATAAATGAGAAACTTAAGTTTAAAGAGCTCCATGACATTGTTAGTCTATCAGTTGAGCGAACTATAAAAATAGCCTGTAGAGAACTGAAAGGTTTCATAGTAGTGTGTTTACCAAACCCATTCAGCTACGTACGATTGTTTTGAACGTGTTATGGATGAACTCTAAGTTAAAGTAATAAAATAAAAAAATAAGATCATCATTTGTGGTAACTAAGTGGAAATGTGATGTGGGCTAGGGTGTTTCTTTTTTCTATTTTTTATGTTTTACTTCACTTTCTCTTTTATTTGATCTTTTTTCCTAATCTTATTTTTTACGTTATTGTCTTTTTACCTTTTAGTCCTTAATAACGGACATACTGGCACACATCGGTACAATGTTTTGGTATATTTAATGATGCCATTGTATTTATCTGTAAATTGCAAAAGAGTGGCCATGAGTTTGTTCGCCCTTTCTTCTCATAAGGCTCAATCCCTTGGAAAATGGCGATTGTGGATCATATCGGCGGCTTATCATAGATTTTGTATAAGCATAACTTTTACTAAAAAAATTATTTCTATTTGAAAAAAAGAGATTGTTTCTATTGTGTGTGTTGATCTACGACTTTAGAGTCTACACAAAAGACGATTTTAAACCATTTTAATTTTCTTCTAAATTTAAGATAGTAAATTTGAATTTGAGGTTTAGGTCATTCTAGAGTGGTTGCTGACTTTTGTATGTCGTTTGATAATCTATACCATTATCTAATTTGTACAACTGAACACATGTTTCTAATAGTTGAAGCTGAACTTCCAATATAATCACACTTTGGAATAATTCAATTGTTTGTTTGTTTTTTTTTGTAGTTTTATTCCAACTTTTTAGGGTGCCTTTATATAAATGCTTGGTACCTTATATCTTTGCAGAAACCTTTTCGTTTAACTGGTTATAACTCAGACTACCCTACATTTTATAAAGTGTTATTACTTAATTAAGTATAATTATTTCTTTGTCGAAATTATATATCGTTATTTTTCTTGGTAAAATTGTGTTATATTGTGTACTATTGGCTAAGAAATAAACTGTTATTCTTATAAAATATCTCTTAATAAATCATTCATTGCATAATAATGCATATAAATCTCAAACTAATCAACTTTTGCGTCTTCAAATGTACGTAACAATTTCAATTAAATTTAATTAGGTATATAACATGTTGACCTTAATTTATGTTCGCAGGTATTACTTAGTGACCTAGATGTACCTATAATATACCCACCTGTATACACTACATATACATTTCATTATTTATAATACGTTATATTTTATATAACAAAGCTAAAGTCTTCTTATTTGAATTTTTGTTGTTTAAACGTACTTATCTTTAGCACTATCAGTCTGATTTGAGAAAAAATGTTTTACTGTATTGAATATTCATTAAGATAAATTATAAGTTACGTTATGTTAAGAACCATAAGCTAACCATAATTCAGGTGAAACTATTTGGCTTTTTCTTGGTTATGAACAACACTATTGTTCATTTTTTATTACAAGTATTAAGGTAGATACATATATCATGGTTCATAATTCATTTTAAATGGTGAATAGCTTTGATTGCAGAAAGAGCAACTCAATCACTGCTAAACTACTCGTCATATACCTATTTGCCACAGTAGGTATGTAACCTTACATTGTAAATGAAGCAATGTATTTTTTAATTGGTATTTGATTTTTCATTACAATTATAAATAAATAAATATGTTTACAATTAAAAATTTTTTAGTCTATTCATCTTGATAGGAAAACGATTGATATAAGTTTGGGTTACGGTGACTAGATGGCGCGTGCAACGATGTACTGAAAATGTCGCAATCTTCTAACTAGCTTCATTGAAAATGATTGTTAATTTAGTTAGTTTTGAAAGTTACCTTTAAACACTGGCGATATCAGGTTAAATCGTTTGGCAACACAGCTAGTGAAGAACGAGTGACAGATTCTACACATCGTTAAAAATCTAACACTGACTTAAATTCTTCCTACACATATCCTACCTAGGCATTAACCTACTTATGCTGACTATCTCACTCATCTACGACTATTTAATACATATTTTGTAACAATATATGGGTAGTAGAAGCGCAAATGGGCTTTGACAAAGTATGATTGAAATCAGCTAGAAATTTAAGTACATTCTTTCTCAGTGTCCTTTTAGGTACTTAGAATGTTCATGGTAAATATACCTCACAAATTTGTCACCTTACAAGCCTATAACTATGATCAACTAAAGGTCTCGATGTCATTACCAAAGTATTCTTATTGTTGTCTACAGGATTTCTATTAGGTAATTCTAACGACTAAGTAAGACACATGTGCCTACGCTTTATTAAAGGTTTAATTGTTTTTCAACTACGTTTTTATTAAGTATTTACTATTAAAGTAGGTATAGGTTACTTTACGAACAAGAAAGTCTAAATTTGGATAGACTTTTGAAATTGATTTTGTTTTCAATTGTGATGTGAAATTCAAAGTAAAAATAAAAATTAAATATGAATTTGGAAGTTCAATTTACCACTAACTTGTACTAGGCTAGTCGTTCTGCATTTAAGTAGTGCATAGGACTTAGCTTCTCAAGAAATAAATTGATAAAAGCATCCTACGTCAAACTAAATGAACGTGAGCACACGGCAAACGAGGATGACATAGATTTATGACCACCTACTATAAATAGAACATTGACACGAACAGGTATAAATACAGAACAATATTTTCTCCTTATAATGGTCTTAGTCGTTTACTTTGTTTTTATTTATTACAACGGCCCATTTAATCACAATAAATAGCTCAATCTATACAAGCCGTGTCGTCCACGAGCATTTTAAAATTCAATACAAAGGACGCATACCACTTTAGTTTTAATAAACCGCACACTACATGCATACCTTCAGAATAACTGAATATTTTCTGCAAAACATGCTGAGACTACTTACCTAAATCTATGTTCATCCAAATATCATGAAATTTAAGAATATGGGTTACCGTTTTTCTCAACCCGGTGTTCTTCTTCGGTCGATGGTCAAATGAATGAATAAACGGTTTCAACCCTAACGGCCTTTCGAAGGGTGGGGACGAGGAAAAAATGGGGTGGGACCAAGCAACGACCCCTGTAACAAAAAACGAAGATTTATTTGCAAGCCACATTGTAGAATAATAATAATGGTAGTATGATTGTACAAGTTCGGTGCACGGTAGTGCAAGCCAAGTTCTTGAATTATTGATTTATTTTTACACTGTAGTTAGTAAATCTAGTACATTTTTGTAATAATTATGATAGTTAGGTACCTATAAGTTTCTAATTAAAGTAAATCTACCTAATCTAAACGCCAGAAGATAACAAAGTGTAACAAAAATTGACAAACATTTAATATTCAAACTTGAATAGACGCCCCAACCCCCTTAGGTAGTTACGTTCCTCCTAGGGGTACCTACAGGAGCAACCCTTTACCTCACTCGATTTTTACGACATCCGTAGGGTGATAAGCAGATGATACCTTCCGTGTTATGTGTACCTGTTTGTAATCAATGTAGAGATGAGATCTAGTTATATTTCTAGCCACCTATCTGTCTTCTTCATTATTCTACTTTTGTCAATAATCAGTCTCGGAGTGATTAGAGTCCATTTTATAATTTAATAATTAATTTAATAAAAATATTCTAACGGTACCGCTTTGTTAGTTAAATCAATCTATTAGATACTACACTTTTTTAACTGGCTTGGTTCTATAATACGATAGGTTAGTTTAGGTCTTTGATTGTGTTTCTACTCTACAATAGGCCCGGCCCACCTCTAAAACTTATGAACGTATCTATCCGAATATTAAGATCAAGTTCTATGTCACACATCAATATTGACATTCAAAGAGAAAGATTGTAGATACCATGTCACTGCGTTACTGTTAATCTATTCATCAATTCCAGGTTGTGCAAGTAAACTTTTACAAATGGTGTTTAATTACATTGTAACCTGATTTCCTATTGTCCTTATTTCGGCAAGTTGACATATCGATACAAATCCGTATTCAAATAGCTTTAATTAAACTGTTAGGTTTGTACCTGATTAGTTAAGTAAATGACAAGGTAGTATAAATAACTTAATCAAAAGTCTATTACTATTCCATGCCCCAGAAAAGCCTC